GTTTCGCTGCGGCAAAGCTGTCACTTTTTTTTTTGCATGACTGAATGCGCTCCGGCGAATTAGACATGTTGTCCACGACTTGATACTGTGAAAATAGCTCCCTTGAACTTGAAATGTTAAAAGATTATGAGAAGTGGTTTAGCAGCCCTATAAAGGAGCAGCAGTGTTTTTACCAGCTTGTTGAAGCACAATGTGCACTCATAAAAACTGAAATTTATTCTGCTTGTAGTTACTTGTGTTCAGTGTCCAAGTTCTGCTGGCTTTGAGGTCACTTTTGAAAATGCCTCCATCACTTGTCGAGTCAAGGATCATTGTCTTGACACAGAGCTGCTTGAGAACGCTTGCAAGCTTGTCGGCAAAGTCAAGATATTTTCTCATTTTCTGCCTGCAAAAGCATTTCGTGGCCGACATGCAACCTAGGATATCATTCCTTCCGTAGCACGACTCACAGACCCAGGTTTCAGGCATGCAGAATAGATACCATAGAGTCTTCTAAAATATGAAGCTTGGGACTCCGATGCAGCGATCATTCAGCCACCTAGGGAATGATGGGTAGTACACAAATTTGCTTAGTCTTCCTGCTTGCTGGCTTCTAATGCACTTGTATTTATAGTTAAACCCCTTTAAAAGAGGCATGCTCCGAGCGGCAATTCTTGTCTTTTGTATGAGATGCTTCTTATAAGCAGGGTAACTCATATGCATTTTCTTGTCAACCCGTATTTTACTGTAGGCACACTGGTGTCTTTTATACCCATTTACCTTTTATATCAGTGTCTCTTATAAAGGGCTTTGGCTGTATTTCTGTGATTTGGTCCTCTTTCGAATGTAAGAACAGACTGTTATGAACTTCGTGGGCCGATTTGAATTGGTGAGCCTAAAAAGGTCAAGGTGGTAAAGCATAACTGCTGAACTTTAGCTGAACTTCGTCTTGCGGCAATGCGAATTCAGGCTCCAAGAAGCCAAACACAGCCTGAAGAACGAAGACAAGGCAAATTTGTGTGCTATCCATGATTCCCATGCTGGCTGAAGTGCCGTGCGTTGCAGCTCCCGTACAGACTAGTGCCAGATTTTCCTCTAGTCTTGGCTCTGTTTGGCCAAAGTTAGAAGAAACTCTGGCCCTTGCACCACTAAGCACAACTTATCGTCATCATCATCCCTCTAATGTACTTGCAGGAAACTCTATGATAGATGCAACTTAGGTTTTCTCGGTATGCAAACTTTAATTTGATGTGAGCTTTCATCATGAAACATGCATTTCCTATGGAGGCGGAAATGTTGTAGGCCCGTGTGCTCAGATTTGGGCGCACGTTAAAGAACCCCAGGTGGTCGAAATTTCCGGAGCCCTCCACTACGGCGTCTCTCATAATCATATGGTGGTTTTGGGACGTTAAATCCCACATATCAATCAACGGGTCAATATGCTAACTCGCAATAAAAAAAATTTAGTTTTCAAAACTACACGTTTCTGCTAAAAGGTTCCCCCCACAGGCTCAAGCAAACTAGATGTCAAAACGGTTATTTCTTTGATCAGAAATAATTTTTAAACTTGGAAGGTAAAAATGAGTTTCCGGTAATTAGCTGGTATTTGTCAGAATTACAATTCTATCGAGGTTGAGAGAAAAATAAAACCTTTAGCCTGTAGTTCAAGCGTTGTGGAAAAGAATGGTACCAAGTTTGTTTAGATATCTTCGCAGAAACTTGCTCAAAACTTCTGTAAGACACATTCACTTCAGCAAAAATAATACCAAGAAAATTATGTTTTCAGTTTTAAAAACATTTGTAATTTCATATATTAAGCTTTTAAGAAAAAGAAATGGTATTTTGCCAGAATACAAAATTCTTCCAAAACATACTTTGAATATAAGTACCTAAAATTGCAATTTTCGAAAGTCGGCACGTTTTGCAATTTTGTGCTATTTTAAGACCCTCGTCTTCTCTTAAGTTACCCAGGCTTGTACCGATGCTGAATGTTATTTTGAATGTGTCACTGCTTGACAGATGGCAACACAGTTTCATTTTCGCGTCACAGAGAATGTGCCGCGACTAAGTTTGTGGCTTACCGCACAAAAGGAATCATTTAGTTTTTAGCCACGTTTCACGCTACACTTTACAGTAAAAGCTCATTTATCCGGATCACGTTAACTCGAAAATTCGGTTAACTCGAACATGCAGCACGGTCCCGACAAAACTTTATATTTTAATGGTGTCAAATGCTCATTGATTCAGAGGGATTTAGACGCGCACTGGTTAACTCGGACGATTCCAGAGAGGGCTCTCAGGGTTTCATGCTCTCGGTAACCGATTTGGGTTACTGAAAGCATGAAGTCTCGGGGCGCTAGTCACCACCCTGCGGAAGCGCTTAGGCGGCCAGTGCATCCAGTGTCTGCGAAATGGGCCGCACAGGACAGTTTGCGCAGCCGCCGCTACCCTAGTTGTTCGTGACGCCTATGCTGCTGATTTCTTTGTGTAGTGACTTTGCGCATAGCGTGTGCAGCTCAGGTACATCAAAAGAGCTGACTGTTGGGCGAGTTGGCGCTTTGACATAGAAACCGTCGTTACGTTCTCAGGCTGTGTTTGTGCGCGTTGATGATGGTGTGGCTGTTGCAGGTTTGCTGACTGATGATGACATATTATCAGAAGTGCTTGAAGAGGGTCAGAATCACTGTTCCGATGATGAAATTCAAGATGAGCCGAAGCGACATCGCACCGTGCAGGTGGCCGCCCAAGCTCTCGCTGTCCTCACGAAGTTCTGCATAAGTTCTCGCGACAGCGAGCATGTACACCGCCACCACATGGGGTTGAAGAAGATTGTTCTAGCACTAATTTCGATGACGTGGCAGATTAAGTTGACGCAGTTTTTCATGAAATAAAAGTTTGTTTGTGCCAACTACATTTTCCTTTTGTTTTGATGGATCATTCGTCATTGTGATTTATAGTACATCAAAGACAAAATAGAAGAGCACGAACAAAGTGTTGACGCACACCACTTTAATTGAATTGAATCATGTAAAACAATTAAGCCTCCACATTTTCTCATTTGTTATAACTCGATGTCAGAACACCTCTTTGAAGCACCCCTCTGTAACACCAGTTTAGCCAGTGTTAGGAGTAAAGGAGGCACGCGGTATGTGCCAAAGGTATGCAGGTGGCGATGATGTTCGGAGCCACGGAGAAGTACCCAAATGGTATGTGCCCCGCTACAACAGTGCATGTGATTTGTTGGAAAATAGCTCCTGGCACACAGCTGGAGTCGTGGTGTGGAACTCCTGAAAAGAAGCGGGCATTGTCCTGTGGAGTGCCTAATGAAGAAGGTCAAAGAAGTCAGCATCGCTCCTGCGGCGAAAACAGTGGTCACCTGGATCTGGAGGGGGCGGTGTGAAGGTACCGAAAAACAGCCGTCGACCTCGATAGACACTGAAAGTGTCATGAGTAAGAGGGCGCGAGGCATGTGCCTGGCACTGGAATGCAGCGTCGGTGCGCAAGACCCCGATGGGGCGCATACGCGCCACGCTCACATAGGAGATTGGACACAAAGGCTCTTGGAACGCAACCCAAGCTGTGGTGGAAAATCTCGCAGGATGAGGTGTCTCTGTGCTGTCCGGTTTTGAGTTTCGAACTGCGAAGATCAGGAATGTCAGTGTCACTATAGCGACGGAAGCAAGCTACCCGGTTATGAAGGATGTTGGCGAAGAGGCCCGGGGAGTGGCCGTCGATCTCGAAGACTCGAGTGAGGCTGCCTGGACTTGCTGTACTCTTTCACTGTAATTCCTGGGGGGACTAAAGCTCTCCCACATCGTGCCTGAATGGGTTCGGCCCACACCACCCATCAGAGTGAGTCATCAGTGAGGCCATTTGCAAGTTAGGTGTAACCAAGCGGGCCGAAAATGACGAATAAAACTGGGACACCGGCAATGATGACAAGTAGCTCGTTAGGCAAAACCAACCGACGATGACCATAGGAACTTTTGTAGGATTTCGACGACAGACACGAAAACGGGATGAACTGTAAGAGCGTTTGATTATTGAGACGCCACATTGGCTAGGTAATAACGGCGAGGGCTAGAGAGGGATTTAGACTGGTCTTCAGTCAGTTTGGGTTTGACTAAGTACGTGTTGGGTTAGTTGGGTAATCTTGTGTATGTGTTAGTGTGTGTTTTCACTTTTTATGTTTTTGGGGTGATAAAAGGAGTTTGTATTGCTACACTGCTGGCTCCCGTCTCTCTCTCAATCTAAACTCCTTCAAGCACTTCCGAGATTTATTGTGACATAGAGACACTCCCCAAATCTGCAGCACCTTGTAACAGCGGTTCTCGGTGCATCTGCTGCTCTTCACCTTCTTAACAGGACGGCTGAAACGCACATGGCAGTCCTCTGAGCGCCACATCGTCGGTTTGGCTGCACAGTACATGAGGACTGTAGGCGCAATTAGGCTTAAGTCGCAAAGTCTCTCGATGACCGTTTTACAAGACAGAAACAAGCGAATCGTCGGGTATGCAGGCCGCCGCTGCCGATTGTGAGACATCTTCAAGGACTTCGATAACGAGACACTTCGTTGTTGTTCTGAGCGGGCATCACGTACAGTAAGAGAATCTATAAGTGCGCAACCATGTGAGAATAATCATGGAGGAGTATAGCAGCTATAGTTTGGCTAGGACTAGAGTTGACCCTAACTTGGATTCTTGTTAATTCTGGCTTCTGACATAGAGCACATTGTTGCATACATGTTTTGTTTTTTAGTGAATTATGAGTGTTAGATTCTGGTTTGTCATTTTGTTCACGATAAAGATGTGTTTGCCATGTTATGTCTGGCTCCCGTATCTCTCTCTCAATCCCATCCACTGCAAGCACTCCCCTGATAATTGTGACACAAAATAAACGCTTTCATGTTACCATCACTTAAGAATATGTGTTGGGGTTCCTTTCTTCAACAATAACAACCAGGTGACGATACCAAGGTTTTGGCACGTCAAATCCCAACAATTATTCTTGTTGTTGCTCAGGTATGGTGCAGAGCCCTATGGCGCAGCGGCCCTCGTCGTCGTCGTCAGCGTCCCCACCGCCGCCACCCCTGCTGTCCGGTTCGCTGCCCGCCCTGGTAAAGGCCAAGTCGGACGGATCACTGGCGCAGTCGGACTGGGAGGAGGGCCTGCCCGGCGGGGGCCCCCTGGTCAAGCTGCGGTCGCGCTCCCTCGAGCCCCTGACGGGTCTCGCCATGTGGAGCAGTGAGCCTCACGTGGTCGAGCTGCTCAAAGGAGACAGGGGCCTTGGCTTCAGCATCCTTGACTACCAGGCACGTCCCCTTGCCGTCAATGGCCATGCATCCATGGCTGCCTGTGGTAGTGAAGGGGGAGAATCGGAGTGGAAATTTCTTATTTTGGTGGCAGAGTAGGAAAATTTAGTATGGTTTTTAGAAATACATTGAATGATTGATAACAGAATTTTATTATGGCTCCTCCAGTAGTTTTGACGTCATAAATCATTACTTGTGCCGTTGGTGTGCCGTCGGTATAAAAAACTTGCAGAAAGCCTGGGTGACAATGAAAAACATGGACAGAAGCCCTCAGTTGTGCTTGCCTTTGGCCCTAGATATCACTCATGTAGAGCTTTGGTTGCGGAATATAGGAATTAGTATGAAAGATGAAAATTTGTATACCGAGATTCTACTGTATTGGAAGTAGCAATCAATTTCACTCTCCCCACTCGGCTCTCTTCTCACTCAGGACCCGATGAACCCGAGCGAGACGGTGATAGTCATCCGCAGTCTGGTGCCTGGCGGTGTGGCACAACAGGACGGCCGTCTCATCCCGGGCGACCGGCTGCTCTTCGTCAACGACGTGCCGCTGCAGCACGCGGGGCTCGATGCCGCAGTGCAGGCCCTCAAGGGGGCACCTCGAGGCATCGTGCGCATCGGCGTGGCCAAGCCGCTACCCCTGCCGCCCCCCGACTCCATGGGCGGTGGCGCGCCCGTCTCGTCTGCTTCCTGCACGCAGGTGGGTGGCGCCGGGGGCCACCATCTGCGAAGGCCGCCCCTTCTCAAGGCTGAGAGCTTCTGAGCCGCCGCAGCGGCACGGCCTTGCATCTTCTTCGCCTTGCTGGCCGTTGCCGGCTTTTGGCTTGCAAAATATTCCTGGAATGACCAGTTTGGTAGCGAGTCGCAACAGGCTGGAGAGCTCTGTTCAAGTGAAATGTTGTGCCATGAAAATGACGGCGATGATTGCTGGGCGTAATACCGACATCTTGTCAGGAACAGCACGAGAATGAAATAAAGCGGGTGTGTGCAGACGACAAGCATTGATATGTGTTGTCTGTCTGTATGACTTATCAGAAGTCTGATGGAAAAGGAAAACATATGAGTGTTATCTGTGTTTTTTTATCCGAGTTCTGACAACACACAGATAAACAACATCAATGTGTGTCATCTGATTGCTCTTTTGATCCAATTTTCGTGCTGTTCCTGTCAAAGATGAACCTACTTGCCCAAATTGCTATGCTGCTCGTAAACATTAGGGCCAGTGCTTTAGATTATTTACTGATACGAAGTTTCACCAAGCTTGGGGATGTTTCAGAGGCTGTAAAATTTTTTTTTTTTCTTGTCATTGATTGAGGCAGCTTCATCGAACACTGCAGCTTCTTTTAAACAGAGATCTTCTTAGATCTTCAGTGTAGTTTTATTGAAACTCATTGGGCAGCATTTTAATAAAACCTTTTACTTCCTTTATTGTAGCTTGACCGAAGAGATGCTGAAAAATTTATAGTTCACAGTAACTGAAGTATTTAAAAATTCTACAACAGTCTAGTGTTTTCAATCTGTTAAATGCTTTAGGTAAGACTAATTTCTCAGAAATTTACTGTTAACAGATTGGAACATTGGAATGTACCGTAAAACCTCATTAATTTGAAGTCACTGAGACCATGAGAAATTTTCGGAATAAATGGGTTTAATTAACAGAACATACAAAAAGTGAGATGCTAGGAACTTGAAATTATTCAAGTGAATCAGGGCTGGTCGTTTGCTCTGCCCGCTAGTTTGTGGCTCCAAGAGTTATGTTTTCCAGCAATACCTGGTCGCAATTTCGCTGCAAACTAGAAGATCATCGAAAAAAGAAAAAGAAAACGTGATAAACTAAAATGTGTGCCTGCGAAAAACAAGGCATCTTCACTGCAATACAGTAGTGACACACGGGAAGCATGTTGCCTGCTTCTCGCGTCAGTACGTCATAATGCGACCATTCGCTCATTTTTTTTTGTAAGTAAAGAATTTATTAACGGACGGTGTGATAAAGTTCGTGGTGTGTTTTGGCTGGAAAACATCATTATTGAGGCTTTCGGCTTGAGTTTTCAAAGTAGGCGTTGCAGTCAAAGACTGCAAGTACGCAGGCAAGAACTGCAAGCAGTGCAAGTACGCAATTTGCTGGAGCAACCTGCACTCAGCGGTTCACATACATCGCGGATTTCTCCAGACTGACCTTTATTGATTTCTTTGAATTTCCAGGAAGAACGAATAAATCGTAACACGCTGACATTGGAAGAAATGAGCAATATGCTGCCCGCACGTCACTATTGTATTGCAGTGAAGCATGCCTTGTTTCCACCAATTCATATTTTAGTTGATCATGAGGCTGTTTTTTTTTATTTTTCGTGCTGGAAGTAGCAAAGCAGGGGTGCTTCAGCTACCACTAGTTAGTATCACTAAAGTACATTGCCTAGTGGCTCTTAAGGGCCGTCGTTTCCGTGGATTTGCGGCGAAATCGGAATCAAGAATTGGCACACTGCACCCAAAGCTTTCGAATTAACCGCACTTGTGCTGACCGCTGCTTCAAATAATCTGCTCAAACTTAGATTGCAAAATACGGGACTGCAGAAATAGTTCGAATTAGGTGGTATTTCGAAATAACCAAGTTCAAATTAAGAGGTTTTACTGTAGTATTTATGACCAGTGCTAAGGTGCAACCATTATTTGGATTTACATGACGGATTTGGGCTGCTGCCACTTTATTAACTCTTTGAGAGTAATGCATAAAATTGAAGTAGCTTATGTGGTGAGCGTGTCAGATTGTAAGCCCATTAGGGGATGTCGCAGCATGAACAAAAAAAGGGGATAATGAACAAAAGCTACACAAAGCTCCTCCACAACGAAGGTCACAGTGAACCAATAATGACAGCACGCGTGACAGCCTTTGTGTTGGGAATGTGCGAGCTCGACTTAGCTGGGAACATTGTAACGAGCGGACTAGAAAGATTCTCTGGGGGAGAGATTTTCAATAGCGGTGACTTTGCTGAAATGGCTCACACAGTGGTCACAGCAGCAGCAAGCTACTTGGTCGACGGCCCAAGCTCTGGGCGTGCCGTGCCTTCTGTGCACTTAATTTCTGACAGACCACGATTGAGCATTGCGGGAGTTTGGCAAGCCGATCGGAAAGCTTTTCTCCTTTCAGCTCTGAGAAGACATTTGATGTGGCATTTTCATAGGCAGACGACTGTTTACTCAAAGGATAGGCCGCGGCGCTCTCTGGACGGCAGCTTCTTTCCTTTATTGCGACACCTGATGCTAGTAGGCTCAGTCACTGAAGAACTAGCTAGGCTGGTAAATCTTTGAAAGCACCTCGAGGTTTGTTCTGGGCTGATAAAAGAGGTATGGTAGAAAGCTAGCCTTTCAAAGCTAGCCAACTAACACGAGAAAACAGAGAAAGACGCGACATCTGTACGTTGAGGGTACGTGCAGTGCCAGTAATCTCCAAGGCCATAATCTACCGTCAGTCCTGATAAGTTTTGAGGACAGTATGCAGAGGGCCCCACGCTCTGGTAACCTATCCATAGGGTGATACAGTAAAAGCTCGTTCGTTTTACTCCCGTTAGTTGGGAAAATCAGACAATTCTGACTCGTTGCCTGGTCCTTGCCAGGCGTGTGCATTGTTAAATGGAATCAAACTCTCATTAATTCGGCCAGATTTGGCTGCAACCAAGTTAATTCGAACTATTCACAGAGCATGCCAAGCGTAAAGCGCGGCAAATACGTGATGCAAATGAAAAAAAATGGTGTTTGCGGACAGCCAAAATGGATGCCAATCCTCAGAAAGGCGTGGTTGTCATCCAAAATCATATGTGTTCAGAGCACATATTGAGACACATGTATCATGAGTCATGACCACACGTTTTGTGAACAAAATCGTAAGTTACTGAAATTGCGGCCATTAATATCTATTGTGGAAATTAAGTACTGGATTTATGTTTTAATAAAAAATTTAAATGCATGGATGTAACAGACATTTCATTTATTCTTTTCTTGATACATTTGGTTAATTCGAACAGTTTTTTCAGCCCTAAGAAATCCGAATCAACGAGCTTCTACTGTGCAAATATGTAGTACTCATAAAATCTGTTGAAAGATCCAGCAACAGGGCACATTGCATTTCATGATACCATTGCCTACTTTTTGTCTATTTGTGCATAATTTTTGAGATGGCCAATATTGCAGAGAGCAACTTTCGAATTTGAAAATTTTAGAAACCACTCCTTTTTCACACTTGTTCTCTTTTCCATTTGCTGTTTGTGAAAGCCCAGATCCATTGGCAGCAGGGGCATATTTGTTTCAGTTAGGAGCGGTAACGTTTGGTTTGAGTTAGTGTCCACACTTGACCCTTTTGCTACCGTTGACGAGTTTAGTCATGGGTGTTTCAACAAAATGATCGATGACAACTCTACCCTCCCAGGACAAAATTTAGTCTTACGCTGTACCAATTAAGACTGCACTACACAAACTTCTGTTTCTTGACACTAGATGGCCACGCTTTTCCATCTTGGGCCGTTTGTGTTTCGGCTTTGATTTTATTGTCATTTTTTATTATATTGCCATCTGGCAAAGCCATCTTCAATTTATAATTTTAGTGAAAAACTCTACTGCAACGAAAGAATGGTACCATCTTATTCAGAAGAACAAGCGAAAGAAATTGAGCAAAAACACTTTCTTCAGTAATTTTGGCACTTTTTTTTTCTTTTCTTTTTGCTTTATTTCAAAAGCAAAAGGGCTAATGCTGCTCTTCAGAACTGTGTCATGTTGATCAATGTGCCTTCTACAGAATGGTCTCTAAGACATCATGCACATGCTTTCAGGAGCGTGACGAATGTGTTTGTTTCGCTGGCACGAGGTATTCGTACTTTGTCAGTGCATGCGTTAAATCGAGTTGCGACTCTCGATCAGCTTGAATGGACCTTGGCTACTTTGACAGTGGGACCATTCAGAGCAGTTGTTGAGTCGATGCCTTGGGGTTTGTTCTAGAGAGTTGGCGAGGCAAAATCTATGTCCTCGTTTTCTGTGTAACGGATGTTTGCATGTATTACGGACTCCTACTTCAGTATTATGACGGCACTGGAATCACGCTTACGGCCTTACCAAGCAGTTGTCGTAGAGCATGCGAGAATTTCTTCGAAAATCGGGAAAACTTGTTGAAGCCGAACAGTGGTGTTTTGGAAGCGTACGGCGGCAGGAGCTGAGCCCCAAATGGACGATTTGTAAGCATTTGATGCCAAGAGCCAAACTTTCAGCATTTCAGAACTCCTGTAAGAGATGTTGTAGCACTTGTGAAAGAAATAAACAGGTATTTTGAGTTAGCAAGGCTATTCTCATGTTGAGTACACAGGAAGGGTTGAAAAACTTCAAAAAAAAAAAAAGAATACTTTTTAGGCAATTTGACAAGCTGGTACGATTTGTTTGTTTGGGCAGCTGTCGGCAACAAAATGGCTGCAATGTAGATAAACAATGATTGTAACATTGCTGGAAATTATAAAAAAACTCTATTCAGTGCAGACCACTGTCTCCAATTATGGACAGTAAACTGCATATTAGACCTAACACAGGAGTGATAACTTAAAACATCAGACATGTGCACTGATAAATTACGAGCACAGCGAAACCAAGCAAATAAGCTGTCTAAACACTTGTTTTTCACAAGCACATAGCGATATTCAAACAATAAGACTAAACTTGTCACAG